TAGTGGTTCTGGTGTTGGCGGGGCTCTATTGATTATATAGTGAAAATGCATTATTTCTTTGGAAATCTTCTTCTCTGCTCCTGGGTATTAAATAAACTAAGTAAGTACATAGTTATGATGAGCAAGAATGCCTTTTCCAAAATTGTGAATTTCATGGCCCCAGGGTCAGGAGTTCTGGTGTTAAGGCGGGGCTCTATTGATTATATAGTGAAAATGCATTATTTCTTTGAAAATCTTCTTCTCTGCTCCTGGGTATTGAATAAACTAAGTACATAGTTATGAAGAGCAAGAGTGCCTTATCCAAAATTGTGAATTTCATGGCCCCAGGATCAGGGGTTCTGGTGTTAGGGTGGGCCTCTATTGAATATATAGTGCAAATGCATTATTTCTTTGAAAATCTTCTTCTCTGCTCCTGGGTATTAAATAAACTAATTAAGTACATAGTTATGATGAGCAAGAATGCCTTTTCCAAAATTGTGAAAATTCATGGCCCCAGGGTCAGGGGTTCTGGTGTTAGGGCGGGGCCATATAGATCATATAGTGAAAATGCATTATTTCTTTGAAAGTCTTCTTCTCTTCTCCTGGGCATTATTTAAACACTAAATATAAGTTATGATAAGCAAGAATGCCTCTTACAAAATTGTGAATTTCATGGCCCCTGGATTAGGGGTTCTGGTGTTTGGGTGGGGCCCTATTTATTATATAGTGAAAATGCATTATTTCTTTGAAAATCTTCTTCTCTGCTCCTGGGTATTATTTAAACAAACTAAGTACATTGTTTTGATAAGCAAGGATGCCTCTTCCAAAATTGTGAAATTCATGGCCCCAGGGACAGGGGTTCTGGTGCTAGTGTGGGGTTATATAGATCCTATAGTGAAGGTGATTTATTTCTTTGAAAATCTTCTTCTCTGCCCCTGGGTATTATTTAAACAAACTAAGTGCATTGTTATGATACGCAAGGATGCTTCTTCCAAAATTGTGAATTTCATGGCCCCAGGGTCAAGGGCTCTGGTGAAAGGGGGGGGGGGGCTCTATTGATTATATAGTGAAAAGCAAAATTTCTTTGAAAATATTCCTTTTTGCTTCTGGTTAAAAAGCAAAGAAGCTATGTGTATAGTTATGATGAGCAAGAGTGCTTCTTCCAGAGTAGTGAATTGCATGAGCCCTGGGTCAGATGTGCTGGTGTGAGGATGGGGCTTTCGATAATATAGTGAAAATGCATTAATTCTATTAAATAATCCTGTCTGCTCCTTAGTGTTAAGCAGATAAACAAAGTGATTACTTATAATGAGCAAACTCTGGTCCCAGGGTCAGAGGCTCTGGTGTTTCTTGGTGGGAAAGGGGTGGGCTCTATTTATAATATAGTGAATCTGTAGTAAAAATGCATTATTTCTTTAAAAATCTTCTCTGCACCTGGGCATATCAGAGGCAAAAAGAGTAAATGTTTTAATAAGGAAGGGCATTTTTTTTTTACCAGATTTTTGAACATCTGGACCATCTGGTCAAGTGTTCTGGTCCTGGCAAGGGCTCTATTAATTTTTATTCTACTGAGAGGAGTTATTCCCCTTTGCCATTTACTTTTGATAATTAATCACTGTAAATAATGTATTTGAAAGGTTAATAGAATAGGAGAATTATGCAAGAATTCTTATTGTATAATACAAAAAGTACTTTCGTACTTTTAATGATCAGTTAGACTTGTAAGTAATAGATAAATAAAAATGGGACAAAAATAACTTGTCTTATTAAATGTTCATCAAAGACCAAGAGAGGCCAATATAAGAGTTTTCAACAAGGAATTAAAATATATATAGTATAGAAGCACTGATAGCTTGTTAATATACTGTATGGTGATGGTGATAAATGGGGAACAGATCAGAACCTGTTTTATGGAACTGTTACTGAATGCTAGACTAATAATTTTGTTGATCCTGGTCATTCTATTTTTCTTGCTTTTGGGCAACAAAGCTTCACCTTTCAGTTCATTTTATACTCTATGGATCCTCTAAATTGTTGTATTATACCCAGGTGACCGTTAAGGCCCTTGGGCCTCTTGTTTCATTTTCAAGGCCATAGCTCAAAGGTCACTACAGTAAAAAATGATTATGGCAAAACGCCAGGAACAAACAATTTTGATTCTTCATAAACATGATTCATTATATTTAATAAGTTTGAAATGCATTTTGAAACTACAAGAAATGAAAATTACTTATCTGTAAGCATGAATCCAAATGTGTATGCTCTAACTGTGTTTTACTGTAATGCAGATAGAATATACGGTATTTGAATGTTAAAATTGCAGGAAAATGGATAGTATGATACGAAGTCAATACTCACAAAATACATTTCAATATGAAGGTAAAAAGTTTAAGGTTTTATGAAATTCCATTAGTCAAATAGTTTTGTTTGCTTGTTTATTGTTAAACGTCCCTCTCGAGAATTTTTCACTCATATGGAGACGCCACCACTTGCCGCGGTGGAGAGCTACAAATTTTGACCTATACTCGGCACTTAGGGCCATTGAGCACTGAGGGATCTTTTTCATGCCAGCACCTACTGCGACACGGGGCCTCGGTTTATACGGTCTCGTCCGAAGGACCGGTCTCCACGTCCCACAGTGGGATTCGAACCCGTAAGGATCAACTCCTTACTCCGCGACTCTAGAGCGAACGCTCTAACCACTGCGCAACACGGGCGACGTCAAATAGTTTTAAAAGTTCTTAAAATTTTATTAGACTGAGATAAAGTAATTGAAAACATTATGTGCATGCATTTTTAGGTCACCTGAGTCACTCAGGTGACGTATTGCTATCTGTTTTCGCCCGTCGTCGTGCATCGTGCGGGTGTGCGTCGTGTGTAAACTTTTCACATTTTCGACTTCTCAAGAACCACTGGGCCAATTTCAACCAAACTTGCCACAAAGTATCCTTGGTTCATGTTGATTCCAGTTTGTTCAAATGAAGGGTCAAGCCTTTTTCCAAGGGGAGATAATTAATAAGAATTAGTGAAAAATTAATGGCATCTTTTAAAAATCTTCTTCTCAAGACCCACTGGGCCAAGAAAGATGAAACTTATATGGAAAAATCCTCGAATAGTGTAGATTTAAGTTTGTTCAAATCATGACCACAGGGGGTAGGGTGGGGCCACAATGTAGGATCAAAATTTTACATAGGAATATATAGGAAGAATCTTTAAAAATCTTCTTCTCCAGAACCACTGGGCCAAGAAAGATGAAACTTATGTGCAAACATCCTCAGGTAGTGTAGATTAAAAAAATCATGACCCCTGGGGTTAGGGTGGGGCCACAATGGAAGATCAAAGTTTTACGTAGGAATACATAGAAAAAATCTTTAAAAACCTTCTTCTCCAGAATCATTGTGGCCCCACCCTACCCCCGGTATATATATATATATATATATATATATATATATATATATATATATATATATATATATATATATATATATATATATATATATATATATATATATATATATATAATTGTGTATGTGTGTGTGTGTATAATTTATCTTGCATGTATAGGGGGCAAAAATGCCACCATAAATTTCACCATGTACTTAAAACAGGAACAAACCCTCGTCAACATCAGATAAGAGGAACTGTTTTGTGTGGAATATTTATAACAATCAGTTCCCCCTCCCCTTGTCAGTGACTTTACTCACAGAAGTGCCTCACACCACCGTGGAGGTTTTCTTTTAATGTTGTGTATTTTCTTTGTTTTGAAATGAAGATCTAGAGTCACTTACAAAACAATTAAATTGCTCAGTGAATTCTTCCCTGCTTGTAGATTCAAGATGGTCATTCAAATCTAACCTTGTTTAGAAATAAAGATTTGTCTGAAAGTGGTGGTTCAGTGGCGAATCCAGGATTCTTGAAAAGGGGGGATTCTTGAAAAGGGGGGAGGGACCAGTTTGGGGTCGGGGTGGGGACCAAGCAGCTCTCAGGTTTTAGGAGTTTTTTGAACATTTTTTTTAAATTTATTTTAGCGGTATTTTAGGTATAATTAATGGAATATCTCACACCAAAAAACTGAATGATTAATCTTATGTATATTTTTGGTCACAAAAGGGTGGGGGAAGGGATTTGCCATTGTGGTTTTATCTTCCTAAAGGGAAATACATATCAGCATATAACTGCATGAAGTAATATAAGTGTTAACATTTTGACTTTTGTCAAGATGTGAACACCGACTCTTCAATATTTCCGTGAATAGTTTAAAATCTCGTGATATTTGTTGAAAATTAAACCTTCCTCAAGACTTCTGGGATTTGAAAGTCATGCACAAAAGGCTCGTTAAGAATTTCGTGCAGGTTTAAGGCCATTGTATCTCAATTGTCACCCAATTCATAAATCTCGCGTCTGGTAATCATCAGCTATTGAATAAAACACGTCTAGAACATGTATTTTCCATCTAAATAATATCTTATTTAGACACTTCTTGGAAATATATAGTTGAAAATAGAAATTTTACTACTTGTTTCCTCATCTCCGAATGAATATGATGCATTTAATTGTCGATAGATTGATATTTTCATTCAAATGAACAATTCATTCGCATGAAGCTTTCAGCTTATTAGTATACATGTAAATGACTGCCTTAATTTATTCATATTCAAATTTATTTTCAACATTTATTAGGATGCTTTCCTTTTTTAAAATTTAGAGTCCATTTAAAGATGAAGACATGATTAGCAGCATCATCGCGATATATATGCATGGAGAATGTACAAAATATAGAAATATCACAATAATTATGAAATAATACTGTAACAGTGACACCTATCAGGGTAATCACGGTCAATACCCTGTCTTGACATCGTCACATTATAAAGAAAACATAATTTCCCAAGTAGCTCTGGAATGTCCTGAATAGATGTAGGAGCGCCTGTGAGATGGGCATAACCCACGGAGGGCCCCACATACACTGACACACTCGACTACTCATGTGGATTATAAACATCTTCGGTGTGAGGAAATGAATTAGATCTTAAGTTAAGAAATGTAGGGGAAGTTTTATATAATTTTTAACCTCGAAGACTCTTTTGTTTTGATGTTTTGCTACATCGACTGGCAGTGTTTATTTGATCGGACTATCGACCACGATGTGTAAATCTGCAGACAGTGCAGGGTGTAGTTGAATGCAGGACCTAAACTGTGGAGCGGATCAAAAGAAATGTACGTAGGTGATGATTCGAAGATTTACTACATAGCTAAATTCTATCTACGCTTCTCCAATTTTTATACTAGTTACATGTAAATTTACTATCATTTCAAAATAGTTTACCGTTACCAGTTTCAATAAATCATAACTAACAATGTCTGACAGCCCAATATGCAGGTTAATTTTCCCCTAGTACTTCCCTGAAGTTATTCATTCAGTTTATCGCGTTCTTCAACACACTTAGAAAAAAATGATAAACTCCTTTTTTGATGATCTGTTATACAACGTGGAAGAAATTTTAAAACGGACAATTCAATCAGGAAGCAATTTGATATATGATCAAAGTAGACCATCAATACTCAGGTTCACAAATTATCTTCATACAATGACTTCGTTTAATCTATTGCACAACATTCTGTTAAGTCAGGGGTATGGAAAGCAATATTTTCGGGATTCAAGAACTGTAATTTATCTTGACCCCATGACCGTTAGGGATTATCCACTGTTTACTGGTCATTTAAATTCTTTATTTTGTTCTCGTAACGCGTACCCTTTAAGGCCACAGACAGGTATTGGCACTTTTTGACATACAAAATTGAATCTACATGTATTATGTAAAGTTGCCAGTTTGGCTCCGCACATTTAAGCAAATACATTAATTGTTGTGACGTCAGTTCACGAAATTGAAGAAAATTTCAAAAGACCATCCTATTGTAATTTAAAAAAATTCCTCAAATGTAATTTAAATTGTACAGACATCAGTTTTGTAGTGATATTGTATTAAGTTGTAATTTCCTCAAGTATATTATGAAGCTAGTTTACTGTACCTCTGACTACAATTTATATGTGTCAGTTACAACTGACGGTAGACTATATACAGAAGCGTGATTGTTTTAATTATGTCTGTCAGGAACAAAGTGGGGCAGAACAGCTGATCGATACAGTGAAGATGTTACGAGACCGGAATGGTGTATTTGTAGTCAACTTCTCTCCACCAATACATTTGATATTCCGTTCTACCAAAATACCTGATTTCTGTAGTGTTACTGAAGCTCATCCATCAGCGACATGACAGTATGACCATGAATTTAAAATAAACCACCACGGAAGAAAAACAAATACGATAGATGTTAAATAAACTTGATAGGGAATATAGAAGAATTTAGTAATATTCACTAGAGGTATATATATATATATATATATATATATATATATATATATATATATATATATATATATATATATATATATATATATATATATATATGCGATAACTTTCTATTCTCTTAACAGGTGATGACATAGCTTTCCCTAAGCCTTTAGAGGAATTGGATAATTACAACTGAAGATGGAATCAGACAACACTGATTCCTTACAAAGTAGTGGCTCTGAAGAGGGACAAAGCGAGGGAAACCGGACTACAGATAAGAAATATTTAGCGAAAAGACCAGGCGACTTCAAGACCATATATAGCAAGACACGACAACCGGCTTTAACACAGCTCAACAAAGAGAAACAACACAAAGAGAAATGTGATTATATTTCCTGTGAAAAGAAAGAGAGCAGCACACAAACATTAGGGACTAAAGCCGTCTATCAGAAAATGAGCCCAGACTCAGCAAAGAAAAGAAATATGGAAGAAAGTTCAGATGACAAGGAGAATTCTGGCGGGGCAAAAAGTTGCAGAAGGAAGTTTGACTATACTCAAGCAGTGTACAAGAAGGGTGCAACACTGTTTTCAATTTTAGAATTAGACTGTACTGACTCAACAGAGCCACCGTCTCCAAAGCCTGAACCATTAACATTAAATAAAAACTTTAGCCAACTTGTGCCCTTCTCCAGAAAAAAGTCAACTTTTCACCAGTTTGAACAGACTATGTATTACTCGTGTACTCCGGAACAGTTGTCTCTACACAAATTAAGATGCTCAATCTATTCCAGTCTCGGCGCCAGCTGGAGTATAGTCAACCCGGAAGAGTGCAAACGTGTTTGTTTTCAATGCTTTAATAAACAAAAGGTGGAATCAATGTTCGAACTTACTCCTGGAGATCACATCTCCATCCATCGGTCAGTCGGATACGAACATCACGCCATTGTTGTCGATGTATCACCCGATAAAGATGACCCCACTTCCGGTTTTCTGAGAGTTATTCACCGCAGTGCAAATGCTGGCGAAGTCGCCAGGGGGATACTACTGTGTATGATCACTGTAGGACAGTACGGTAATTTAGCTTATCTGCGGGAGGAAGACGTGAAATTCGATCTGAAGAAACAGGATGTGTATATTATTCAGTACAAAAATAAACCTTTTACTCGTTCCAAAATCATCCGCCGAGCAAGGGCTGAGGTAGAGAATGACGAAACATTATACAGTATATCTTCTGATAACTGTGAACACTTTGCTAATTGGTGTGCTACCGGGGAGTACTACAGTCACCAGATTGGCTTACTGAAAGCAACACTCCAAATGTTGCTCTTCTCAGACAATGAGGGATATAATAGAATGTTAGATAATCTCGCAGAGAATGGTATAATGTGCGAAGAATGCTTCCAGGAAGCAAAAAGGGCACAGGAAGAAAGCAGATTGAATCAAGAGAAAGCAGAAAAGAATTCCGTGACACATATGCTTCCTTGAATGTTTTTACTGGGTTTTTTTTTAATTCTAGCGGTAATCATTTTAGCGCCTCTCTTGTCTGCAAACTCATGTAGACGCTAATCAAGATATTTGATTAAAATTAATACATCATAATGCTATTGTTTAAACTTAAGTTCGCTTATATATATATATATATATATATATATATATATATATATATATATATATATATATATATATATATATATATATATATAGTGAGAAAAAGTGCTCAAGCCAAGGTATAAAATATTGTCATTTCATGAAAAACACGTTTGCATGTATCATGTCATTGCTCATACAGACAAATGCATCTCAAAGAGGACCATGCAGAATCTTTACAATCTCAACAATTTACAGTGTATATACAGTCAAACCTCGTTATCTCAAACCCGATGGGACCGAGAAAATACTTCGAGATATCCGAGGGTTCGAGATATCCAGGGTAAAATACTTAAGAAATAAGCGATTGGGACTTGCAAACCATGGTATTCGAGATATCAGTGATCGAGATACCGAAGTTCAATGGTGAATGTATATTATCTTGTTGACATTTTTTGTTAAAATAAAATCAATTTTGGAAATATTTTCCATCTACATATACAGGTGAGCAATGCGGCCCATGGGCCTCTCCCTCCCCCCCCCCCCTCTCTCTCTCTCTCTCTCTTTGCTATTTATGAGGGTTTTTTTTGTATTTGAATTATGAAGCTGGTTTTCCAGAAGATTGACGTATCTTCTGATTTGAAGATATTCTATAGTATCAGTGTCCAGTATTCTTCAGCCTTAAGAAGCCCTGCAAGTATCTGGTCTAAGCTACCGCTTTTCCATTATTTTAATTGTGGGGTTATCCTTCTATCTCTTCTTTACTAGATGGATCAGTGTGAATGTCTAATGTGCCCAAAGCAGGTGTTATCGTTGACTCGTTTTCTTGATCACAGGCCTGTAGCAACGGTTTCAAAAGGGGGGGGGGGCAATTTCCCAAAAATCCTGACAAGCAAAATATTAAAAAAAAATAATTTACTTTGCAAATCCTACAATTTGCCAGCACTCGACCTTACAACGTCAAAAAGGGGGGGGGGGGCACCCAGCATCTAAAGGAAAAATTACTATAGCAAAATACCATACTCAGAAAAAACTGCCCCCCCCCCCCCTGCGTTCTACGGGAAAGGATCATTCGTATTGAACAGCTCCTCAGCATGGTATTGCCAGCGTTTCAGGATGCCTTCTTCTCATGATAATTCCTGCTAATAACTGGAATTTACCTGTTAGTTTTTTGTTATTCAGTAGAGTATACCTTAATTGTTCAGCTTCATCTGTTTGTTTTTAGTGTACCACTTCCTGACTAAATTTGCATTTTCATATCTTGTGATTGGTCATCTACAAAATTACTTTGTTAAAATCCTTCTGATTCTAGACACAAATACTCTGATATTTAAAAGGTCCTTGAGTTTCTCATTGACAATATCTATGTAGTCTTTGGAGACCTGGTCTTCCAACAATTTGTTCGTTTGAATTTGTTGGAATTCCCATATTCTGAACCTTTATTAGCAGACCTGTTTCTGTATTCATATGAAGCAGAATTTATTCAAAAACTTCTACATGAGAGGAAGTCTCTTGCTGTGGCCTTCAATTCAACATTTAGATATATCGACGACGTTTTATCAATTTACAATAATCATTTTCATTCCTACGTTGATTTGATATATCCCTCTGAACTCAAGATAAAAGAGTCTGACACATATATGTTTTATTGATATTTGGATATTTTACTAGAAAAAGACTTCAATCGTAACCTAACAACAAAACTTTATAATAAACGTGATTACTTCAACTTTTCTATCATCATTTCCCTTATTTAGGTAGCAATATATTCTTATCACCTGTATATGGAGTTTATGTCTCACAGTTGATTCGTTATGCAAGAAAATGCTCTACGAAAGAACAATTTCAAAAACGAGGCAAGATATTGACAAACAAGTTGATAAAACAATGATATCAACAGTCTCGTTTAAAGTCAACATTTCACAAAATCTATAGTCGATACAATGACCTAGTTAGTAAATACAATCTATCATTTAGTCGAATGCTGACTGACGTTTTTCATACACACTGTTATGTCATTATTTACACACTGAATTCAGAAGTTGACGGCTGAGCTGAAAAAAGTTGTTAGAGAAAATAAAGAAGTTAAGGGTAAGAAAGGAATAGAAGTACATGTATAAGAGTTATAAGCACCAGTGGCAAGTTATCCTAGGGGATTGATGTTAAGTTCTGGGTGTAGTAAATCTGAAGAAGGTTGAGACACCCTATTCTTTCCTACCAATAGGAACCTAGGGGAGAAACACGGTGCAAGAAGAACCATACCAAGTCCCCGTATCTAGATAAGAGATAAAATTTAGTACCGTGTGATTTACCCTCAGACAGAGCGGTCTTAATAATTATTGCAATCATTAACTCAGATAGAGTAAGAAGAAAACCTAATATATATATCCCTTGTAAGAACCTGATTATATAATTATACACGTTACAGAACTTATTCCCACCTCTGATTTTTCTAAGAGATTTGTGTTTGCTCTGCTCCAGATTTGTTTTGTTTCAGTGAACTTTTGATTTTGTTAATTCCATATTTCATAAAGTAAATATTTATCAGCAAGGGACTTCTTTGGGAGGTGTTCACACCTACAATGTTAGACATAGCTTTGAAAGTCAAAAAATGAAGAATAACAGCTGTTTTGAATGGAAAGTTTTTTTTCTTTATCTAAGCGATGCTTACAAAAGATTCAGTTATAATGGCAAAATTATCATATAATTTAATATCATACAATGAAGATGTTTTGGTATAAATATAACTAAAAATTAGATTCTCAGTCCGCTACCTTTCATATTGCTTTATAATGATATTTTAACATGTGCTGGCCGTAGCAAACTGCAATCCAGATTCCAACATCAGCATATCAATTTGTTTTTAAAACAGAGGCTAACATCCATGGAAATGTTAACATTTGATTAAAATTTTGTAATTTGGCACATCTAATTACGCTTTTGGAGTAAAGTGTCGGGGACAGTACCACACCTTTAAGGGGTCTTCTTAAACACTATCAATTATTCCTGGAGGATTCTACTCATCTTCGGTATTAGGTAAATGGTTAAAAATAAACATTAGGTGTACGTTCAAGGTTCGTGTCCCGCTGCTTTTATAATATCTAATTATGACAAATTGAGAAAGAATTTTGTTTAAATTGGTGCAAATCCAAGTTCATCGAAATTTGAGCAACTTCTGCATTATTCAATTTGCCTGCTTCGCAGTAAGCAAGCTATTACAAGGATGAAAAGAATATTCAATTTTATTCCTTATTTCCTCTAGCGTTTCGGGACGGAATTTATTGGTTCTCAGAAAACTAAAAGATTCAACTGACAATCGATTTGTAACGGTTTTCAAAATGACAATTTAGGAATGGGTAGAAATGGCTAAACGAAGATGAATATTGATTTTTTTTTTTTTTTAGTAATGAATGAATATTCCTAAATGGATTTCTTTTGGACTTGGTTGAAGAGGCTAAAGAAAGTTGAACCAGTTTTGCAGTGTCATTAATAAAAAAAAAATGAAAGCATTTGAATTGCATTTCAACAGAATGACGTATAATAGAAGAAGGTGAAAAAAGTATTTCAGCTATGAAAAGAAAAGATTCAAAGAACAAAATTCTAGTCGATATATTAGATTATATTATATCGAAAGTGTCGGCGTCTCTAACGTTTGAACAGTAACACAGTAACAAGTAGCTTTATCCGTTATAAAAGAATGTAGATGTTTATATCAATTTGATTGTTCTTGAACTTTTTGTACCCTATAGCTGTTGTCAAAAAATGACGATGCTCAATCCATTCCAGAGTCGGTGCACCAGCATCATCAATCCAAATGAGTACAAGCGAGTTGTTGGCAACAAATGAGTTAATATAATAGTTCGTATAATGGAATAAAATTGTTCAGTCTCCTTCCTTGAGATCAGCACAATACTGGCGTCGGATACGAATATCACGTCACAAACTGCTGGATTTTTCCCGATGAAAAAAAATAAACTTGCAGTATGTAGATATTTTCTGAGTGTATACTATCGTACACTGTAAAAAATAAGTGTTTTAAAAATAAACACCAAATTGCCACAGATAATAAACACTTTAACACGTTTAAAATTTAAACACTTCGTGAAGTGTTTAAGAAATAAACATGTTAGAATGTTTAAATTCTAAACACATGAGGTTTAATATTTAAATACTTCCTTCTCATTCTGTTTAAATACTAAACACTTCAAAAACACAAAACGTTTAAAGATTAAACATTGAATAAACACAAGGAGTTTACTAAATAAACACCGTACGTGTTTAAAATTTAAACATTTCATGTTTTATTAATAAACACGTTCAACCTAAACACTTAAACAAACAGATAATAATCACTTAAACATGTTTATACGTCATTTTTTAAACACTTCAACGTGTTTAATTTACAAAATAGATAAACACTTAAACGTGTTTATAAGTTTTCAACATTTTTATTTGAAAGAAACATAAAACAGTACAAAACACACTGTTCTTGATGATGAAACATGTACATAAAGCTTAATTAATAAATGATTTAATGTTGAATAGAGATTCAAACTTTATAAACAATTGTAACATTTATCAACATATTTGCTAACACACTCATGTAGATACATAATTCAATTCAAGTTGAAAGTTAGAATTATCAAAAAAAAAAAAAAACTTGCACGAACATGTAAAACCTGCATGTGAACTAAAATTCAATAAAATTGGTGGCGGTGGGGGGGAGGGGGGATAGGAAAATCGCTTAATAAAATGAAATATTATTTTTCATGAATAAAATTTTGAAACTTTATCTTAAAAAAGAGACAGGGCATCCATTACATCTTTTTTAATAAAATAAACAAATTCATAATTAAATATAATGCACAAAGACTGAAAATGTTATTTATTGCCTGGGTATATACATTGTGTATGTATTGCAGTTAACAAATCCAGTTGTACCTGTATAATTTTACTTTCACTAATATTCAGAGTTTTAACCAAATGAAGAAAATTTCCAGTTTTTACCTGTAAACGACTAATTCATTAAATATTCTTGCAACTTCACAAGAGCTGCCGGGGTATCACTCACTAAATTTCATATAATATTCTAACGGAGTTAAACAGTCTCCTCTGCTTGTGTGTAAAATTCAGGTTCTTCTGCCACGGATGATGATCTCCAGTTTTCCATTCTCCAAAATTTTATTCAACCTTAGTATTTCTAATTCCTTCTTCTTATCAGAAATATCCTGAAAAATAGATAGATAAAAAATATTCACTATGCAAATTCAGAAAATTATCTGTAAAAGAATACATTGAGATAAAAAAAATAAATTTGTTATCCTTCACGCCAGTTTTAATTATATAATACATACTGAGAAACAAGTTTGAAATAAAAATCTGCAATACAAATAAATCATATAAGCGTACAAACAGTGTATACACTAAAAAAATTAGGGCTGGGACGATACAACTTTTTCTATATCGATACGTATCCCGATATTTGAGCCACGATACGATATGTATCACGATATGTTTAATTGGTTATAGATTCTTTTTTTATATTGAAATGAACAAAACATTTCTTCACAAATAAGAAAAATTTATTCAAAGAAGTTGCATATCTGTTGTAAAACTTAATTATTTTGCACAAGTGGTCTTAATTATTATGTATTTCATATTTATATTTATATTAAGCATATTTATTTTATATATTAAACCCAAAATGTTAAGTAAACAAAGAAAAACATAAGTCAGATTTTTTTGGGCAATATGTCGATATTTCTTCATACGTATCGATATGCGTATCATCCTCACATTGAATCGATATTATCGATATCTCGATATATCGTCCCAGCCCTAAAAAAAATAAATATTAATGTACCTGCAGGAGCAGCCCATTAAGAGAAGGGGGGGGGGGGCTCCCCATGGCATTTTCTATCATGTGAACAACACTCCCCAAAAATGTAAAGTCTCCTTAAAGAATACATGCGCGAGCAGGGGATGAAAAGTGTTGTTGTTAACGCTTATGTGTTAAGTTATGTAGGGTCAGCAAATAATCATAATAATGCGTGATAGGGAGCATAAATTTTATCAAGGGCAGGTAATTGGATTACATTTACTTAAATTTCATGTTACTGGGAGACCCAAAACTAGTGTAGACTAGGAAACAATGATGTTTGTGTTTGTGTGTGTGTGAGGGTGTGTGTGTGTAAGGGAGTGACCCTTTGAAATGCCCTTTAAACTCACCTCTCAAGGTTAAGTGTGATCTTCGTTTAAAATCACTTTCCTTTATCAAGTAATGTATTCTTCTCAGGATTCACAATAAGAGAAGAACGTCCCTGCAAATTAATTGGATATCGCAATATACTTAAAGACTACAAATATTTTGTGCCGACCGCTGCACATGGCCGCATTTGCACTCAGACGATAGGCCTAACAATCCTGCATTTCATAAATGAAAAGCAGTATAAATCTCTAATGTATTAAGCATTCAATTTTTTTCAGATTTTATATAAAGAAATGTATAAATACCTCCTGTTTCCTTGTTGGATATGATGTTTTTGCCAGCATATCGTGATTCTGCATCTTCTGCGTTCAAATGGCATGTTATGACATAATCAATTGCGTCATTTTCTATCATAACGCATTAAACACAGGTGTTTATTTTGCACTTTCTATATATATACCATGTGTTTAATTTATAAATATATGATGGTTAAGAAATGAACACTCGTGTTAAACACCGGTGATTAAAATATTGATAAAATTATAGAAGTCATCATAATATATGTTTCTCTTTCCCCTTTAACAGTTTATGAAATTTATGAATTTTTGGCACAAAATTACCATAAATTAAAGTTAATTGTAATTGCTTTTGGTATGATCTGAAGTCAACGTATTGTCTGGCTATTCGTATTTTTTTCTGTGTCGAAAAATATCTACTACTATGTACGGAATTACTTCATAAATTAAGAAATTGTACAAATGGCAAATGCACACAGCAATACTGAGAAGCAACACCTAATTTAATCTTTTGATTTGATGCATATGAACATTGCGTGTTTAAGATGGATGATTAAACACCCTACTTATTGAACACCAATTTAAATAGTCGTGATTATATGTTAAACGCTAATGTTTTGTATTTAAACCCACCATGTTTAATTGTAAAACACGACTGTTTAAAAATTAAACACAAGTTAAACATCATTTTTTACAGTGTATTACACATACAGGAAAGTTGTCAAAGAGATATTGTGTGTTATCACTGTTTGACAATCAGATATGTATCTTAGGAATGGCAACCCACTCAGTCATTCTAAAAAAATCATAACAATTCCAACTTCAGTATTATTTTAGGCATTTTTTTTAAAAATAATGATCAACCGGGGAATATTAAAAAGGGCAATAATTGCTAAAGGCAATTCTCCAATTACTTGTTTAAACAGGCAATAAATGTACTTCAGAATGTTAAATTATCTTGCATAATAATGACAGAATACATTACTGCCTTCAAGAAAGGGAGTGGTAGCCAGAACAAATATCATTTATTTCATTTTAAAAAATGAATTTCATAATATAGTTGTGAACATCCATACGTAAAATTGAGGGAAAAAATCTTTTTCATAAATCAGTATTTCAGCGTACCATCGTGCTCAGGACATTTTGCTAAATATGAAATCAGTTTTAAGCTTTTAATTTCGAAAAAAAAAATCTTCAAAATCAATCCTTCAAAAACACAACAAATGTCAACTTACCTTCAAGGTTTACACTTAAACATACTAGTACTTAAAAAATACAGCACGTTTTTGTAAAAGTATTCATTTAAAATATTGTTGAAAGTATGCAAAATGCAGTTCATTATATTGGTGAAAGAATAATGAAATACTTTCATCACCTCAAATACTTACTAGTATTTCATATTTGGAGTCACAGATTGGCTTGTTCAAAAGTAAATTATTATTCATTGGTTCAGCATACAGCAACATAACTTTCATAAGAAATAAAGGAGAAAATATTCAGTGAAATATAACATTTTCAAATTTAGCTTCTTTTGATTAAATTATTTTATTTAAAAGTGATGGATATGCAATGAACGATAACTCATGCTAGTTCAGAAAGGGGTTATCAACAATATTCATGACTGTTATAAGAGGTTTCCAACGAAACAATCAAATTTTTCTTCACATTAAATAAAAATCCTTTGTACAGGGTTTATGAGATAAACGACTCGATTATTCACGGCCTTTTGTATGTTTTAATAAAAACACATTTAAACGGTATTATATACCATTTTATTTCAAAAGAATTACACGGACAATGAATGCAATGTGCTTTAAGCAGAGACTGAACCTAGATTATAAGGGATGCCTTGTCGACATCCTTGTATAAAGCAATGGACATTCAATGTTGCACAAAACACAACAGCTAATACAAACGGACTCGCTCGGAAAATTGTCCTATCATGACATGCGATATTTGTGCTTGGTCAGTTTTCACTTTCTCCTAGAGATGTGAACATATTTGAATTTGGTCAAGCAACTTTGTTGTACTTGGATAACATCGACAATCCATTACAGGTGGTTTGCTGGAAAAGAAAGAAGATTGATAGTTCAGTATGTGTTCATGGAACAAAACTCTCATCTGTAGGACAAATAAATCTAAGAAAATATTATTGGAGGATCTGTCATGATCAGATTTTCCCCTAAAAAGAACTCTAAACACCAAACATTTTCCCTGAATATTTTTTACTTGAACAAGGAACCATGATTCATGTAGTACCTATAATGTCATGACTACCAAATACATACCACAATGATCCCATACATACATGTACCACCATGATCCCATACATACCACCATTAGCCATACATACCACCTTTATCATGCTTTATCATACATGCAACCATGATCCCACACATATCACTAACATCCCACACATACCACCATCATTCCATACATATCACAAACATACCATACATACCCCCATTATAACATATATATCCCCATTATCCCCTACATACCACCATGATCCTGCACATATCACCAACATCCCATGCATACCACCATTATCCCATACATACCACCATTGATCCCACACGTACCACCTTTATCTCATAAATGCAACCATTATCCAATACACATGATCCCACACATACCACCATGATCCCACACATACCATCATGATCCCACACATACCATCATGATCCCATACATACCACCATGATTCCAAACATACCACCATGATACCATACAAACCACCATGATCCAATACATACCACCATGATCCCACACATATCACCAACATCCCATTCATACCACCATTATCCCATACATACCACCGTTATCCCATATATACAACCGTCACTCTATACATACCACCATCATGGTATCGTTCTCTAACCATCGTTTGATGTTCATTTCTGCTCCATGTAAATTCTCATTTGTATGTTTCTCTATGAGTTTATCACCTTCTAATTTGACAAGACTCTGTAAAGGTAAATATTCTAAAATCAATTTCCATCATTTTTCTTCATAAAGTAATAACACAGTTACTGGCACTCAGTATTGCTTAATTCATACAATATAAATTACGAATGTACATTCACATCAATTATTTCTCAGGTAAAGATGTACATGTAGTTGTAGGTAATATCGCATGATTTTCAAGAATGTGAATTTAATAATAAAAAAAAATTTAAAAAAAAAAAGCTAAATTTTCCTTTTCATTATATGATTGATATTTACATCCACTGAATATTATCTCCTTTATTTCTTAAGAAAACCATTGCCATTTATCAGCACCTCTACATATTTCTGGAGCAGTGGCTCTTCCATCAATGAAACGTACAATGAAGTGCGTATAAATAATACACTATTTCATCTATTAAATGCTATTTTGAATGAATATTTACACAAATATAAATATAAACAATAAAATGTCTTTCTTTCTTTCTTTGTTAGTGCGGGAATTAACGTTGCAGCTATTGCAGAAAAAAAATTACATAACCCGCTTACGCGGGTAATATATTTTTTCTGCAACAGCTGCAACATTAATTCCCGTACTAACAACCAAAGAAAACATTTTATTGTTTAAATTAGTACCTTCATTGGAGAACCGTCTAAGTCTGCAGAGTCGTAAGGTTCCCCTAACTTAAAGGTAAATTGTCTTCCAGCAGGTGCCCCAACAAGACCCACATTAATGGTCACTGTATCCCCATTTACAGCATAGGATATAGTTGTCCTCGCGTCATGGTACATCTGTTTCTTATCAGCCGGTAAACCTGAAATCATCAAACAGTATTATAAAACGTCTTCGCGTATTCTTCATGGTGCATATTTGAAAATATTTATCAATGCTGTGACATAATCTGATGCTTGAGTAGATGCAACGATTGCGTGTGGTCTTTTAATTTCCTAATGTAGCCCCAGTCACTTGACATTTGTTTCCACTAATGTCTCTTCTGAAATGTAAATAGCAATATGTTTTGTTTGAATTATATGTAGTATTTGGTCTCCTTTCCGAAGTGCTTATGAATTTTGAGACATAACCTTAAAGAATTTTCAGAAATTATGAAGTTCAATTTTCTATTAAAAAATGCTTTTTTCTGTTAATTGTTCAGAAGAGTTTACTAATCCTTTACAGCAGATTGTCAAGTTCACGATTTTTGGTGAGCTGTACAGAACCTTTAATGCACTTTTATTCAATTTTTTTGCACTCTGGAAAATTAAACGTAGGAAAAGAAGTCTTTAAAGAAGGAATAAAACATATAAACAAACTTAAAACAAAGAATGGTACCGAAAGTTGGCAACAAAACAGTAAATGCCACATGCTAATTTCCGTGTTAATTACGCGTCTGATCCCCAATGGTTGTGATCCAGATACTCGCATAAGTACTGTTGTTTGTGACTCATAATTTTCTGACTTTTGTGAATGAGTTGAAAAACATGTAACCTATTTGATGTTTGATAAGACTGCACTGATGACAGGATTAAAGACTTGATGGATATGAAATTTAATGCCATACTTAAATCATAATGAAAATAACATGCTCGTTGAAGCATTGAACGGAAATAGTAAAAATTCGGGGTTTCCACGTGCTCACATTCTTACCCCAAATTGTGTGACGTACTCTAAGCCAACAGAAATAGACAAATGTGGGATTTTTTTTTCGAATAATTATAATTTAAAGTTTCAAAACTTTTTTTTACCATGGTAACAGTGTGTTGATATTATTTAAGCAGGTATATTGCACAAGGAAAAAGGTATGTAACTACCATGGTAAGTCCATTCCCAGTTATAACAAAGCAGTATCCTTCAGCACACAACAAATCTGAAATTGGTCGGACATCTAATACAGTGGAGCCTCCTTAATCCGGACACCAATAATCCGGACTCTTCGACTTCCGGACAAAATTATTTGGGAACAATTTAAACTTAGATATATACCAGGTATGTTTCAGTAACTCACTGTAATCAAACATTGCAGGGGGGGGGGGGGTATTTGTCCATGAAGTAACAAAATGCATACATAGCTTAATTTTCCTCATACATTGTATTCAAAGAAATAACTTGACGATAGGGCAACTTTTACACCATATTTGGCCACGAAAATATACATGGTTATGTATAGAAACAAGAATTTACATGATATGTTGCATGAAAATGTTACGATGTTCATTAAAAATTAATATTCTTTGCCAGACTCATATGTCAATTCCATGTGATCATTTTTCAAAAGGATGCATGACGTAATAGCTAGTGAAGCAAAACAGAATTTCTATTCTCGAGGTGTATGACAATTACTCAGAAAATCACCAGATTTCTGCAATAATTCTGAATTAATATATTGGTACCATAATCACTGCTTATCGTATTTCCTACATACAGGAAAATGTATGATCATGAAATCGAGAGGTAGACGGTAACTATACTAATGATATAAAGTTCCATCAATTGGAGAATCTGCTAAAATTATTTCATCATTGTATAATGACACAATCTCCACGAATTACAAAAACTGTATCATATTGTAATATTAAGTTAACCATCAATTAATGATGAACGAAAAGAGGGTGTTGCAGAAACTCGTGACATTTAAATACCCACGACGCATTAAGAGTTATCTCTAAATATAGATAATGCTACGTACATGTAGATGACTTTATTTATACGGCGGGTATGTCCAGCTTGTTATAAAAAAAAAAACATTTCACATTTAACGTTTATTTCATGCATAGTGTTTCCTATCTTATTGATTTATCCGACTATAAATAAAAATTATCCTATCCTATAGACTGGCGACCTGATAGTAAACTTTTTTTTCACATCTATGGTCACTATCGCCATATTGCACGCGAAAAGTTAGAACGATAAAATGCACAATTAATGGCAAGTGCATCTCGCACATCATTTTGAAAGATGTGCTGTAGACAGCATGCGTTAATATTTTTTAATATGTATATAAAAATGTGTCCAATAATCACGCTGTTGATGCAATATCCAAAAAATTCCATGGAGTCATTTCAATTTAGTTGTTTCTGGTCAATTCTGAGCAACTAATTAACAGAACAATAATGAAACGAAATGAGTATGAAAAAATTAAATTATTTAAAATGATAGTACTTTATTTTTAAGACATCGCCACTAAATATATTTGTCATTGTTAACATGTATAGAAACATTTAGATCACAATATCAAGGAAAACAATTTAATTCTGCATGCATTTAAACTTCACGACATCTCCCCCTCTCTTTCTCTCTCAAGAGAGATGTTACATTGTACTTCCATTATTTAAAGGTGCTTGGACACAGATTTGAAGTTAATATTTTCTCAAATTTTCTATATAATTTCATGACTTATGTGTTGCTTTAGCATTTCATACTAAAATATCATAAAAAATCTTATTTCATCTAGAAGTTACTAAAACTTCGAATTTCTGGACGTGTTGGATCGACACATCCTTGCGCTTTCACATATTTTAATTTTATTCTTAATACTTAAGAAAAGTGGCAATTTTGTTGTGTATTAATGAAAAATATTAAAACTATAATCCAGAAAATTCAGAGTAGAAATGTTCGAAAGCAAATCCCACCCACAGTATTATAAGTCCGTTCTCAGTGGTGTGTGCAGAGTTTAACAATTGAACACACCCGGTGAATCGTAAACATTAACAATAACAGAGCTCGTGCCCTGTTTACAAAATCAGTTTACGTTTCACGGTTGTGTTCAATTTGTTAAACTCTGTACACATGTCATGGACTAACAATACTGGTGGGTTGGTTTTGCTTTCGAACATTTCTACTCTGAATTTCCTGTATTATAGATGTAATATTTTTCATTGATACATAACAAATCGCTTCTTTTCTTAAATATTAAGGATATTCCAATAATTTGATTTCACAGGAAAATATAATTGAAAACTTATTTTATCTGGAAATTATCTGGAGTTTAACAAATTGAACACAACCGTGAAACGTAAACTGATTTTGTAAACAGGGCACGAGCTCTGTTATTGTTAATGTTTACGATTCACCGGGTGTGTTCAATTGTTAAACTCTGCACACACCACTGAGAACGGACTTACAATACTGAGAGTGGGATTTGCTTTCGAACATTTCTACTCTGAATTTTCTGGGTTATATTTTTTGACTTATTTTGCTAAGTGGCTAATTTACACTTCATTTAATGGCAAATTGGTAGTCGATATGCAGTTTCTAAATATTTTTCTACATTGTGCTGTATATACCGTTGTATCTGAAAAAAATTTAAGACCGTTTTCTGTTACTTGAATTTTTTCTTTTAAACTGCTACATTTTTAGGGAAAATAACAAAGGAACTGCAACACCCTCTTTTGAAAAGTACGTGCATGTTCGACCACTAATAATATCAAAAGAACAATTTAGCATCCAATAATGAAATAAGTAGACAAAGGACGCAAACTCTGCATAATACAAGTTCTAGCATATGTATATGTATCGGTTTTTATAAGATAAAAGATTTTTTTTCATGTGACTTGTAACAATATGAACAGAAAAAATGACAAAAAGTAATATGGTTAGGTTATACATGTACATGCAATTTCATTATAAAAAGTCATATGACATTGACTTAGGATATTTTTATGTTCCTGCTAAAAATTTCTTTCGAAGAAAAAAAAATGATTTCCACATGTTCAAGTTAAACTAAGCTAAAGACTCCAGTCTGCTTTCTCAATGAAATTTTTTTTTTCGTCAGACTATTTGTTTACTTTTATTTTCTTCTTTTTCGGAGTCTCTCTGCTCTGTAGCTTGAGGTTCAAGTCGTTGACTCAGGATAACAGAAAAGTGGGCATACCAGGTTTCAGATTTATAAGAATTACAAAGACTTTTCTGGAACAAGATTATCATTTGTAAATCAGGGAATAGACAATGATATTGTGTAAATTAATATGTCATGGGTCTTAACATTATCGGATCATCAAGGGGCACTCCCATAATCACACATGTCCGACAGAAACTGAAATGTGTCATCATTCTCTACTTTGTACATTGATTAATGATTCACAATATTGCAGCCTTGCAATGATGTAAATCTTGACTTATGGGTGGGATGAAAAATCTGCTTCTGAATCAATGTTTACTGGTATTTTAAAGAGATGTTAGTACGGTATGAATATTTATTCGTCATTTATTGGTGAACCAAAATATGCAATTGTTCTAATGTATTGTTATTAAGCAAAACTACGGTTTATTCTGTCCCACGGGGTTTCAACGGAAAATATCACTAAATGTCTTGCACGAAAATTCGACTTTCTAATTCAAATATTTATTTTCTTGATTACTAACTTACAGCTAGCCAAGGTTCTTAATCAAAAAAAAAATTAGATCCTTCAATAACAAGAAAAAATATTTTGAAAAATTTGCCCCCTCCAGATTAAAACTGTACTAACATCACCCGTTTAAACAAAAATGCATAGACTGTTTCCTAAAAATGTTTCATTTAATGGTACATCCTGGTATCTTTCTTGAATGTGGGGTCATTATCTGATAGATTGAAATTTTCTTTACAAGTAATTTTTTCCATAAAAGGTTAAAATTTGTAATTTTCCCCGAAGAATATTTAAATTGAAATTTGAAGATAATGACCAGTGATCATACCCCAAAATCCATTTAAACAATACAAATTATGAGAAGAACCAACACGGAGGAATCAAGTGCCATAGAGGAGTATGCATCCCCTGCCGATCGGTCACATCCGCCGATTGCTCCTTGTCATGAACAGGTAAGGGGAAAATTTGCAGT